TCATGTATTCCTCTTCCTTGGATGGTCCTCCATCAGGAATGGTGTGGTCGAATTTAGCCAAGGGAGACTAAGGATGATATAAAGGCACAAAGGCTTTCCTTATATTCAATATTCAAAGTTTTTACAAGATGCATAGCCTAGGGTATTTATAGAAGGGAGGAAGCATTTAGGGTTGCATTTGAGATTGCTTGGCCGAAAAATGCAAGCCAAATGCACTTCAAATGAAACCTAAATTAACCCTAGATGCTACTTGGTGGCCAAGGCTGGAATCGTTGGGTTTGGTTAAGTTACATCTAGGTTCATGATAAGACCATGCATCCTAGGTGCCCTCCACTTGGGCCTAAGCCTTACCAAGTCCAAAAAAAAATCTAATGCTACCAAAAATATACATCTAGGCCTTTTTCTTAACCCTAATAAAATACCCTAGCTATAAAATAAAATCCTATAATCTAAGGTACCCCATAATACAAGGGTAAAATGGGAAATACAAGTAAAATAAATCCTATGTCTAAGATACCCAAGATACAAGGGTAAAATGGAAAAATTAAAGACAAGGGCAAAATAGGAATAAAATAAATTCTATGATAACAAGGCTAAGGAGAATGATTAATATCCTTTAACCACAATAAGCATGTCTCTAGGGGTGTTATCTCCCCTATCCTCTTCCAAACTCCTAGCCATGGACCTATTGATGGGTACCACATGAAGCTCTAAGGATGGTCCTCCATCACATCTAGTATGGCGGAGCCTTCTTCAAGCTAAGAGTACACAGGCTTGTAATACCCCATGGCATGTTTAGTGGGCCTCTGCAATACATAACGCCCAACCTAGGTGATGAGGTATAGTCCAAAAAGCATACTTATTGCTCTGTCCATGATGTATGGTCGTGGATTTGGATGTAGATCGACCTTGTTCCTCTTCATTACGTCCCTGTTTGTAGTGAGATGGACACTTTGAAGTAATTCCATTTTTCTGTCTGGGTTTGCTGCACCAGGAAAAATGAGGGAGTATAAATCCATCTTTGGGTGCATCCCTTTTAGAATTATTAGATTTATGGATTGCTTGGTTGAAAATGAAGGAAGAGGCCTTGGAGGCACGATCAAACAATCGGCTCTGATTGCCGTTTTTCTTTTCCTTAGGGTAAGAGTATTTACAAGAGTGACCTGTAAGGAAATTGAAATTTAGATAACGTTCTAGAATGATAGAGAGAAAGGAGTCATAGGAATATTACTTACAGAGGAAAAATGTACAGTGAGTGATAAGAGGAGAATGAGTGTCCATAGAAACTTCAGATTGAGTTGAAGGGACGATGACTTCAACCTCAGTTTCAGCAACTGCCTTTTCAGCCTCAGGTGGAAGAGCGCATGTTGACCGCTCCAGTTCAGCAACTACCTTTTGTGCTAACCTTATGACCTTCTTCTTCTTAGGGTGAGATGGAGCTAGAGGAGGTAGATGAGCTTTTCTTTTCAATGCCTCCCCGATGGGTTGGCTATGCTCTATATCAGATGTATACTCTTCATCTAATCTGGATTGGAGGATCATTCTCTTCTTAGTTGTTGGTGCAGCATCAGCCAAAGGTTCAGCTACCTTGGGAGACGGAGAGGGTTGGCACTTCTTGCTTGAGCGCGCCATAGGTTGTTCTCCTCCGATATCCTTCTTGACCTTCAAGGCTATTGTAGGGTCAGAGATGTTGTAGCTTACTGGCATCTTCCCCATGTTTTCCTTTTTGAAAACAATGGGGTTGTCGCCACCCGCCGAAACGGACCTTGGCATTCGCCTTCATGTATTCCTCTTCCTTGGATGGTCCTCCATCAGGAATGGTGTGGTCGAATTTAGCCAAGGGAGACTAAGGATGATATAAAGGCACAAAGGCTTTCCTTATATTCAATATTCAAAGTTTTTACAAGATGCATAGCCTAGGGTATTTATAGAAGGGAGGAAGCATTTAGGGTTGCATTTGAGATTGCTTGGCCGAAAAATGCAAGCCAAATGCACTTCAAATGAAACCTAAATTAACCCTAGATGCTACTTGGTGGCCAAGGATGGAATCGTTGGGTTTGGTTAAGTTACATCTAGGTTCATGATAAGACCATGCATCCTAGGTGCCCTCCACTTGGGCCTAAGCCTTACCAAGTCCAAAAAAAAATCTAATGCTACCAAAAATATACATCTAGGCCTTTTTCTTAACCCTAATAAAATACCCTAGCTATAAAATAAAATCCTATAATCTAAGGTACCCCATAATACAAGGGTAAAATGGGAAATACAAGTAAAAATAAATCCTATGACTAAGATACCCCAAAATACAAGGGTAAAATTGGAAATACAAGTAAAATAAATCCTATGTCTAAGATACCCAAGATACAAGGGTAAAATGGAAAAATTAAAGACAAGGGCAAAATAGGAATAAAATAAATTCTATGATAACAAGGCTAAGGAGAATGATTAATATCCTTTAACCACAATAAGCATGTCTCTAGGGGTGTTATCTCCCCTATCCTCTTCCAAACTCCTAGCCATGGACCTATTGATGGGTACCACATGAAGCTCTAAGGATGGTCCTCCATCACATCTAGTATGGCGGAGCCTTCTTCAAGCTAAGAGTACACAGGCTTGTAATACCCCATGGCATGTTTAGTGGGCCTCTGCAATACATAACGCCCAACCTAGGTGATGAGGTATAGTCCAAAAAGCATACTTATTGCTCTGTCCATGATGTATGGTCGTGGATTTGGATGTAGATCGACCTTGTTCCTCTTCATTACGTCCCTGTTTGTAGTGAGATGGACACTTTGAAGTAATTCCATTTTTCTGTCTGGGTTTGCTGCACCAGGAAAAATGAGGGAGTATAAATCCATCTTTGGGTGCATCCCTTTTAGAATTATTAGATTTATGGATTGCTTGGTTGAAAATGAAGGAAGAGGCCTTGGAGGCACGATCAAACAATCGGCTCTGATTGCCGTTTTTCTTTTCCTTAGGGTAAGAGTATTTACAAGAGTGACCTGTAAGGAAATTGAAATTTAGATAACGTTCTAGAATGATAGAGAGAAAGGAGTCATAGGAATATTACTTACAGAGGAAAAATGTACAGTGAGTGATAAGAGGAGAATGAGTGTCCATAGAAACTTCAGATTGAGTTGAAGGGACGATGACTTCAACCTCAGTTTCAGCAACTGCCTTTTCAGCCTCAGGTGGAAGAGCGCATGTTGACCGCTCCAGTTCAGCAACTACCTTTTGTGCTAACCTTATGACCTTCTTCTTCTTAGGGTGAGATGGAGCTAGAGGAGGTAGATGAGCTTTTCTTTTCAATGCCTCCCCGATGGGTTGGCTATGCTCTATATCAGATGTATACTCTTCATCTAATCTGGATTGGAGGATCATTCTCTTCTTAGTTGTTGGTGCAGCATCAGCCAAAGGTTCAGCTACCTTGGGAGACGGAGAGGGTTGGCACTTCTTGCTTGAGCGCGCCATAGGTTGTTCTCCTCCGATATCCTTCTTGACCTTCAAGGCTATTGTAGGGTCAGAGATGTTGTAGCTTACTGGCATCTTCCCCATGTTTTCCTTTTTGAAAACAATGGGGTTGTCGCCACCCGCCGAAACGGACCTTGGCATTCGCGATGATGGTTGGACTCTTTTTAAAGGTTTGAAAAATGATGGATTGTTAGAACGACTTATTCTCAAACTGAGACCTCATCGAACTAACAATTTTATTAAATGATTCACCAATCCATGTTAATCCCAAGCGGGACCCTCCATGGATTAGTGGTTTTCGCAAAAAGAAGGGTTCTTGGAGTCGCCACCAATGTTTTACTCAAAACATTGGAAAAAGGGATAAGGCAATTGATTTTCGCAAATCAACCTTGGCCATTACAACCAGAGTTGGGTAAGGGAG